TTAACTTATAAATGAGTGTGTTTGACTGATTTTGTGGTTGGTGGACAGATAAATCCTAATGAAAGACAGCTACAAGATTTTAAATTATTAATTAGGCTACCACTTAACAAAGCCTATTTGGCACTCTATTTCCTTGCTTAACAAGACAAAAAACTTTAGGGAAAGGCTCTAAATGATCCTAGAGGCTGTTGATTTGCATTCTGTTTTTCAGAGCTCTAAAAATGAAATCCATAGCTCCTGACTTTAAACAGGCTCCCTTTGGTGACACAGAACCCTGGACCATCCTCTCCTTCCTTCCTGAAAGTTGCTGGGTGACTTCCCTGTCTTCGCCTCTCCCTTCTTCACATATCTGACCAGATCATTGCTTTTTATATCTCCAGCACCACCAGGCTAAGCCAGGGGATGGAAACCAGGGCAGCTGCGGCTGTATGCAGCCCCAGCATTGTTAGCAGCTGTAACTCTGTCTGGGATGCTGGGCTGCTCCTGCCTTCTGACAGTGGGGGTGGTTTGGGGGCTTGGTCCACCCTAGGCAGGGTGGGGGGAATCTGTCTTTCCCCCTGATTGGAAATGCTAAGCCCCTGGCACCACAGGCTTGTTTGGACTATTAAGCGGAGCTTGAGTGATATGGAGATCAAAGAGATAAGGCTGCCAACCCAATGCTTCCCACCCCCCCCACCAGCAGCCACCATCCCCAAATAACCAATGGAGTACATGCCCTTCCACTTTTCTTCAGGTTTAAAGCAGGTCACTACCCAGTCAGAGCAAGCTTCTCAGTGGGACCCCTTCCATCATGGGAAGGGTTCTGGATTCTCCATTGGGCTTCAGGGCTGTCTACACTGCCCTCCCTGCCTCCAGTGCTCCCCAAACTCTTCTCCAGCACATTCTGTAAAATTCCAGTCTTGGTAAGGCTAATAATAATGGCATCTCCCACTGGCACAGTGCTCTATGGTTACAAGGAAAGGCAGTGCGGTGTAATGAATAGGTATGTGGTAGACTCAGAAATATCTAGGCTAGAATCCTGCTCTGATACTTACTAATTGGCTGACCATGGGCAAAACACTTGATCTCTTCAGGCCTAGGGCAATATTCTTTTTTTTAAAAAACCTTTTGTTAGAAACCCAACATTGGAAGCTAAGTCTAGTTTTAAATTCACTAATTTCAATGCCTAAAGAATCAGGTCACTTACAAAGGCTATGCTGCTATAGTGAATTGATAATTGCTGGCTCTGCAATCATTTCGACATGCAGTCATGGGTTTCTGACACGTAGTAGCTAGATGTCCTTGGGCAAGTCATTTCCAACTTTCACTGTGCCCTAGGCAACTAAGTCTCTAAGAGTTACAGAAAACTTACCCATTTGGTATCCTTAGAGGGAGCTTCCCTACTGGGAGTTCACCACGCAGATGAAATGAGGAATCCTAACCATCCCCCAAAACAACAACAAAGAGGTTGGGACTCTGGAGAGTCCTCACAATGTAAATCACAAGTCCTTTATATATGACTGCAAAGGATTTTGGATACATTTTCAAATTTGACACAGCTACTCTGTTATTTATGCGAATATCATTATTCCCATTTTATGGATGAGGAAACTGAGGCTGATCAGTAAAGCTGTCTGCCTAACAGGAGGTCACATGACTAGTAGGTAGACGAAGCTAGGACTTAACCCAGTTCTTCTCACTCCAAGCCTGTGGTGCTTTCTATAATACCAGTTTTTTGTTTGTTTGTTTGTTTGTTTGTTTGTTTTGCTTTCTGGAGACCTGGTACAGACAGTCTGTTAAGAATCAGAAAGTTATAGAGAGCCTGTCACTATAGATGAGTATCTGCTCAAGCCCTTTTGGCTTGGTCTCTGCTAAAACATCCACCTATACCTGGAAGCTGGACATTCTCCCTTTGTTTTGACCCTCAGCTCGGGGTTTTCATAGTTTCTGGGGGGAGGGGGGTGAAGCCAGGATCCACCCAGGTAATCTGGGCTAGATTCTGCTGACGGACCAAGTCCTCTAGTTAGAAGGTGAAGAGAGAAATGCTGGCAAAAATGATACCTTTCAAGACAATAACCCTCCTGTGGAATCAAGGACTGCCACCTAATTCTTGGGCTTCTCCTCTACGAGTTCAAGTCCCAAATCCCATGACTGTCTCAAATGACTTGCTTTCTCTGAGCCTCAGTTTCCTCATTTGTAGAATGGGGATATTCATGCTGAGACTACCTACCTTCTGCAGTGGTTAAGAAAGTGCCATTTGGGGGCAGCTAGGTGGCGCAGTGGATAGAGCACTGACCCTGAAGTCAGGAGGACCTGAGTTCAAATCTGACCTCAGACCAAACACTTGACACGTACTAGCTGTGTGACCTTGGGCAAGTCACTTAACCCCAATTGCCTCAAAAAAAAAAAGAAAAAGAAAAAGAAAGTGCCATTTGTAACCCTTAAGGTGACATATAACATAAATTTATTAATAGCACTAGTATCGCTATTGATATTCCCATGGGTAAGCCAAGATGGAAACCTATCAAGTGACCAAGGGTACCAGTGCATCATACTCCAAATCAAGCAATGCAAAGACGGAAAAAATAGGCTGTCCCAAGCACATGTGACTGCCCAACCTTTAGCAACCAGTCCTGGAGAGGTGCAGGTGCCTCCCCAAGGAGAGGCTCCCAGAAAGGACTGTTTCCCAGTCAGGAGTCTGTCTTGCCTGGAGACGAGAGGTAAGAGAAAAAAATGAAATACAAAGGGTACATGATTTATCTTTATGCACCTAAGCCATATAAATACAGCATGTGGGCTGTTTTCAATGGTTCATTTTTAACCGTGAGCTGTCAAAAGGCCCATAACTGAAAAAGAAGTGATATTTGTCAGTTCATCTCCACTACTGCCACCACCAGAAACCTACAGATCTAGACATGGGAGTCTCTGGGAAGGAGAACCAAAAGGATCTCTTTTATTCTGCCTGCTGCAGCCCCAGACTTCTGGGTCATGAGCTTGTCATTCTGCATAATCTGTTAGAATGTCTGAACTCAAAGGACCTGGGGCCAAGGTTCTGGTTCTACTTCTTGCTAGCAGTGTGACCTTAGACAAGTCACTCAGTCTCTTTGGGCCTCAATTTCCTCATTTACAAAATGGCACCAGTAATATTTGCACTGCCAACCTCACAGGACTGGAGAGAAGTTACAAAGTAAACCTCAAAGGGCTGCGTAAATTCGAGTCGTGGTTAACATGAAACATTCTGTTTCAACACCTGATCTGGGAGCCACGACCAGCCATCCTGATAGGACAGAGAGAACAAAAGGGAATTCTGGGATAAGGGGACAGAGCCTGGACCAGGGAGCTGAGACTATTCAAACCACAGCACTTAACCATATCTCCTGGGCTTTTAATCACTGACCCACGTGGAGCACAATAAGCAGGGATCTAGAAAAAGTAACAGAGAAGTTTAGCTCCTATTTTGGAGAGCCGAGACAATTCCATCGAACCCCCTAGTGGCCCAGAGACAGGCAAAGACCACACCACCAAAAAGAGCCTTCAAGTTCCCCAAACTGGCCTTGATCTTCTTTCTTTCCTCATGTGCCCCTGGTCCCTGTTTAACAGGATCAGCCTCCTCCCCCACACCCCAAACCTGCTCCTATCCCCGCATCCCAGGGCCTCTTCCCCCAACCAGAGTTCTCCTTCCTGATCCTGCTGTGAGGTCACAATCCTATGCTTACGACATCACAGTCTGTTGCCATGGAAACAAGGGCGGATTAAGGCAGGATCCTGCGAGCTCAGGGATCAGGCCCCTCTCTCGCTACCTGAGCCTCCCGACTCAGCCTTTGTCCCAGAGGACCCGGGATGGATCTGGCGGGCGCCTGGGCCTGCCGGCTTCCCGGAGGGGGTGGGGAAGCGGGGTGCAGGGATGATGCTGAGAATAAGGGAGCCGAGAATGGCTCGGGGCTGGTCCCAGCAGAGCTCATCAGCACCCCGAGATCCGGGCAGGGCGGCACGGACCGCTACCCCATGCGGCGGGTGGCCGGCCCCCAGCTCGGGAGGCGCTGTCTCTCTTCCCCGGGGCCCGGGGGACAGCGCCCCGCTCCCGCGTGACGGCCGCCCAGGAGCGCCAGAGCCACGTGGGGGCGCGGTGGGACTTCCCCAGAAGCGGCGCCAACTTTGCCGCGCCTCTCTGGGCTCGCGAACCGGGCTGCCGGGGAGCTATAGAAGCTGCCCGGGGCTCCGGCCGCCTCCCGCATGCGTGAGACCTGCGGGCCAGCTCCCGGCTGCCCTCCACGGCCAGCTCCCGCCCGTTTGCCCTAGCCAGCTCCTGCGCTCTCCGTTCCATGAATCGCCACACCCCAGCCCTTCTCCGGCCTCGAGTCGGGGCACACACCCTCAGCTCAGTCCTGCGGGGGGCTGCAGCAAAGTTTGAGGGGCAAGAGAGACAGCGCAGCCACTACCCCTTCATCCCCTAGTTCGGGCCCGACTCTGCTTGCTTCCCAGGAGAATAAAGTAGGACGGGAATGGGGAGAGGAGGCCACAGACCGGGCAACCGGCGTGGGGCAGAGGTAGGGGTGGGTAGTGGGCCGGGCAGAATCCCGAGAGACCTTCAGAGGCTCGGCTTGGAGGGGCAGCAGCTGCTGCACCGGAGCCAGGCTCGGAGCACAGCCTCCCGGGGTAAGCGGCTGCAGCTCCCAGTGCAGGAAGATCCAGTCTACAAGGGCAGAACTTTGCGGGAATGAAAAGCTCCCCCGCTTCTACCCGAATGACTGGTTCCCGCCCCACTTCGTGCAGCTAGTCCTCAGGAATCCACTGACTCCGGATCAGTAGCTCGGAGGACCAGCCTTCCTGGGCACCGGCCCTGGCTAGCCCCGGGGCTATTCTCCGCGTAAGTTCCAGCGGCAGCCAGTGCCGGCGCCTTCCACATTTCAGCACTACCTCGACATCCCCGCGGTCCCCTCACCGCCCCTTGCAGGCGTCCGCCCGCAGCAAGCCCATTCCAGCGCGGCGAAGCCCAAGTTCCCCCTGCGGCTCAAACTCACCTTTCGCGAGCATCTTGGCCGCGGGGCCGCCGCTCTGTCAGAGGCCGGAGATGGGGCGGTCCCACGCGGGGTCCAGCTTCAAACCCCCGGGTGTGAGCTGCAGCTAATCCGAGGGCGCGGAGCGGGGGGCGCCCCGGCGACCTGCTCCTGCCCAGCGCCCCGGCTCCGCAGGGGCATCCTGAGTCCCAGCCTCGCGCCGCCGCTGCTGCCTCTTCTTCTGCTGCCGAGGGGATAGCCGCCCCGCGGCCAAGTGCTGCGGCAGCTAGGCACTGCCCTGCCCTGCCCCGGCCCAAAGGAGGGGCGGCCGCTAGCGCTCGACCGGGGCGAGTCCGCTGGAGGTGCCTCGGGCCGGGCTGGGAGCTGCTCCTGCCCAGGAAGCGGCGGCGGCAGCGACGACGGCGTTCTCTTACTCTCTCGCTTCTCCCGCGCCTCTGCCGGCTGGAGCACTTTGGCGGCGGTTTTGAGGGGAGAAGCCGCCCCCCTGGCCGGTGGGCCACGGCCCCCTTCCTCCCCGCCCCCTCGGGCTGCTGCTGCAAATGGGCGCTTGCCCCGGAGCGCGCTGCTCGCAGGAAAGCGCCCGCCGAGCGTTTGCAGGACACGGAGGAGCCGTGGAACGGGGCGCCTCCCTTCCTCCCCCCGCCTCCCCCACCTCTCCTTCACTCCCCTCCCTTTTCTCCCTCCCTCCCCTCCCGCCTTCTCCTCTCCGCTCCCCGCCCCCGCTCACGGAGCGCCTCCCATACAAAATTTATGAAAGTGCGCTCTGCTCGCGGTGTCCAAGCGCCGTCCTATTCCCTGGGCAGCTGCGCTCAGCCGCTCGGCGCCTCCCAAGCTGTTTCTGCTCCACCCGCCCCGATAGCCGCGCCGTGCCCTGGGGCTTGGGGCCACCTTCCCGGCTGGTCCCCTCGTGCCCTCCCTCCAGTAGCCTTGACTCTGACTCTGCCCCCTCACTACCGTGGCCCCTCTCTGACCCTTCGCTCCCCCTCCCCAGGGACTTCAAAGGCGGCAGGACAGCACAGCCTCTACGCTGGCCCCTCGGTTTTGGAGGTCATGGGGAGAAAGGGGCTGGGAACCGAGAACGGCACATTCCGCAGGCAGTGGGGGATGGGGGAGGCGGGGGGAGCAGAACCCAACCCCTCCTCCTGCCCCCCCACCCAATCCAAAGCCCATTCAAGTTCGGGTCCCCTGTCCTCCAGGAAGCTCAGCCCTGGAGCTAACCTGCTGGGGTCCCTACTTCCTCTGCTCCCCCTTTCTCCTCATTCCTGGGAGGGGGGAGTATTGTCTCAGACGCGGTCTCTTATGTGGACGTCAGCAGGTGCAGGTCTTCTCCAGGACCACTATATCTCCTCCTCCGGACATTGACACATTGACACACTCAAGCCCCAGCCTGGAGAGTCTCCTAAAAGGGCGAAGTGGTCGATATCACAGGGGCAGTCCAGTAGAGGCATTTGGGGAGACCCAATCCCAGACCTCGGCCAAGGTCCTGGGGAGGAGCGTGTGAAGAGAGACCACTGATCAGAACCCACCCCCACCGGCTCCATTTGCGTCTGGGGGAGGGGCGCTCCTCTCCGGGGCTGGGTGCAGGGATAAGACCACACCGCTGTTACATTGGCACTCGGGGACTTGTCTACGAAGCGCAAGTGTTTCTCCCTGAAGCCTAGAGAATGGACTGGAAAGAGGCGCAGAAGGGGTGTGGGCTGAGCAAAGCGGGCGCACTCTGGGACGTGTGGCGAAGCTCGTGGGAGAAGGAGCCTGGAAGTCCTTAGAGTCAGGTTCTGTTCCAACCTCCACGTGTGTGACCTTGACCAAGTCGTTTGTCCCCCCTCCCACCCCATTAACCCCATTCAGTGCATTCCGTTGTAAAATGAGGAGTTTGGATTCGATGACCTATCAACTCCCTTTCAGCTCTGATAGTCTATGGTTCTAGAGCGTTAGGCTGGGAAACTGGCCCCCTCCCCTGGTGGATGTGGGGAGAACTAAGAGCTTGGGCAGGGCTGGGGAGGGAGACGAAGAATATAGCTTGGAGCGGGGCGGGGTGGGGACTGACGACGGAGGGGCTTTCAAAAGCTGCCCGCTGTGGAAACTAGATCCTAGGTGGGTTTATTCTAGCACCGTTCCTCGGCCCCTCTTCAACTTATTCCCTAGTCAGCCCGGGTTTTAGATCCTTCGTATGCGGTGGAGTTAAAAGGAAGTTTAGGGGGAAGGAAAGCCCCTCGGGTCGAAGTCCAATGAGGAGATTGGGCCTCCTCAGCTCCCGATCCGGGAACCCAGGATGATACAGGAGAGGAAAAGAGGGGACACGGGAACCAATTGTGCACAGGTTCTCTCTGGGTCAGCTCAGAGCCGGCCTGGTTTGGACAGCTCCTTACAGTCTTCCGGCAGCTACCCGAGGGGGTGCGGTCAGTGGGTACACAAACTCTTCCCTGGCAAAGGCAGCTGCTGGGTCCTCACTGGCTTTTGTTGGAGAGCGTGGGGGACGGAGTTATTTTGGTCCCCACGCGGACTGGAAGCGGCCGTGGAGTCCGGGCGCGGGCAGGGACGGGGGTGGCGCGGAGGCGGGCGTTGTGGTGTAAGACGGGGGAGAGCTAGTTGAGACCTCCCCTAGGTTCTGCAATTACTCAGGCCAGTGAGTAATTCGGCCCAAAAAGCCCCGCGGGGAGATGGATGAGCTGAGTGTATGAGGGAGGAAGGGGGGCCATAAGTGTGATCTGCTGGCGGCTGAGCTCAGGAGTATGGAGGGTAGGTTCCAGCTGAGAAAAATTCTGGGGTCCCCATCACCGCTTCTCGACCTGAGCTGAGAGCGACCGATCTCCGTCTCGCTCAGGCTCAGGGATCGCCAGGGTTCTCAGGGGCTTCCGACCAGATGTAGAGACGAGTAAGGACGAAGAGTGTCTGGCAAGGCCGTTTAGAAGTCCGAACTTCATTCCTGCCTGGCCTCTGAGGCCACCGGGTCACTCTTTGGAAATAGAGAAAGCAGGTGGGCGGGAGATGCGCACTGGGAAGTTACAGAGGGATCCAATTCCCAGCCCAGAATGGGTTCTTTTGAGATGCTTTAGCATTTGCATCTGATGTCAGGAACAGGCCTCAACTTTGAGGCAGGAGTCAGGCCCATAGACAAATTTCCACCTGGACTTCGCACCACTGCCAGAGCCCTCAGGACGGCATCTACCCATAGGAGCCTGGGCTTTGAACCGGCCGTCCTCCGGAGTTAGGGGAGGAAGAAGACGCAGACCCACAGAGTAGGTCCAGGTTGAAAGAAAGCAGAAAGGACAATGGTTTAGGCTCCTGCCCCGGGGTAGGAAGGCTTTTTGCCATCTATAAACCTGGTTAGAGAGAAGACTAATCTGACTGAAAAAACAGGTGGGAATGAGACATAACCAGCAGACAGACAGCCCATGTGTTTTCACTGGAATCCATGCAATGCCAAGAAATCTAGAGGGAGAGGTAACAGGAATGATGGAGCAACGATCAAAGAAAGCCTTGGTTCAAATCCTGCTTCGGACAACCACCACTTGGGCGACCCGAGGCCAGTGATTTAACATTCCCTCCATTTGTTTCCATTAACTCCATTTATTTCCTCATTTGAAAAATGGAATAATACCTTGTAATGCCTACTTCGGAGTGATTGTGAGGGCCGACAGATAAAGCCTGGGAGTGCTTTCCCTATCTTTTTATGTTTTATACCCTATGAGTTCACGTTCTCCCCCCGCCCCAAAAGGTATCGTACCTCCTTGGTATCTATCTTGTATATCATGTATGTCCACGTTGCCTCCCCCCCCCATTAAAAGGTAAGCTTTTCGAGAGAGGGGCTTTTCCCCCTTTTGCTTTCTGTCCCCAGTGCTTAAGCACAGGTCTGGGCACACAGCAAGCCGTTAATAAGTGCTGCTGGTTGGTTGATTATTGGGGAAGCTCCTCCTTGAGAGGAGCCTTTGGAAGACATGAGAGTGTAGACACGCAGGATGAGAGGGCATGGAGGAGTGCAGTCTACCCTGTTGGAGGGAGTCGTTGATATCACGGCGGATTCTTCAAAGGGTGACTGAGTCAGGCTAAGCAGAGGAGGGCTGGGCCGCTTCACCCCGATTCCCACCCTGCGGCCAGCTAGCTCCTAGTCCTCCCAATCCTGTGCTTTCTCTCGCTGCCTCCCGGGCAGGGCCTCGACCCAGGCTCTTGTTTTCCCTTCTCTCTCTCACCTTAATTAGGGGTTTCTAAGCAGAGAGGGCCTCCGGGGGAGCCTGAGGCCGCTTGGCTTCGGGGAGTTCCGCTTAAAGGGCCAGAGGCCTGGATTAGTTTAGGGAGGGGGAGGAGCTAGGGGAGGCCTGGCTGGGAGATTGGTAGAACAAGGCAGCCCAGAAAGCTAGGGCATTTAAACCAGGAGGTTTTCTACTGAAGGCTGTGCTGGGAGCAGCACCCAAGGGGCTGGGCTGACCGGGCGCTCTGATTCTCCAGACTGACCCAACCTTTCATGATCCTGTGCCCAATGCTCAGTCCAGACCAAGGACAAAATAGCCTGACCAGAGCAAGAGAAACGCTAGCTGGTTCCGGTTCCAGCCGCAGCACCCCCGAGTTCAAACCTTAGCCAGCTCCTAGGGGCCTTGGGCCCTCAGACACCGAATACCCTTTAGCCCCTCGATCCAGGAAAGCAGCCTCGGATTCAGGTCTAAGGTTGCTTATTTGAAGAACTTAGAGGCTCCTGCACATTGGCAAAGGTGGTCTTCTGGCTCCCCTTGAATCCGGAGGGTAGAAAGCCGCCCTTTGGACGGACTGATCTTCAAGCGGGGGCTACGGAGCTACACGTGTTGCGACATTAAGTGTGACCCTCCGGAGCTAGACCGGCCCCCTGTGCTGATCTCGGTCCAGTTCAGTCTAGCTAATGTTGGACCCTGTGCTGGGCCAATGGAGGCACCAGACGGTCTCAATGGAGCAGACCCTGCCCACTGGGAGCTAACAGTCCACTGGGAGGGGACGGGGCTGTGGGAGGGTCTGTCCCACGGAGGGGAGGGGCGAGGAAAGACTCCCTAGCCTCCTCCTCCTCCTCCGCCCGCTGGACTTCAGGTTGTGGGAGAAGGAACCTGGGCTGGGCCACGCGCCAAGGGTCCGACGTCGGGCGCGGCGCTTCGGGGGCAAGACACGCCCCCCACATTTCCATTCCCCACCCTCCCAATCCCCGCCCCGCCCTCTCTCACGAGCTGCTCGGCGATCAATTGGCGATGCCTGCTGGCTCGGCCGCTCGGGTTCGTCTAGCGCTGCCTTTTGGGTCCCCACGTGGGAGAGCTGACGATGGCGGCCTTGGCCGAACCGGAGGCCCGCGGCCCGGGAGGCCGTGGCGGTCCCGGCAAAGGTAGGTGCGGCGGCTTCGCTCCGGGCCCGGCGCGCCCTCCCTCCTGCGGCTGTGGTCCTACTCCTTCCCTCATCTCCCTCTCCGTTGCCGGGCCTCTCCGGGGCCGCCCGCCAGGTGCTCCGGTCCCGCTCCGTTTGCCTTCCCGCGGTGAGCGGAGAAGACGCTCGCCTCGGGTCCGAGGCGCCCGCAGGCCAGAGCAGGGGACCTGGAGAGGCTGGAACCTGGGTCCCGCGACCCCTTAGTGCCTGCGAGGCCTCGGGCATGTCACGGCGCTTCTGGGGCTCCATTTTCCTCATCTGCAAAAGAGTCTGGGGTCAGAAAGACCTGAGTTCAAATCCGACTTCAAACACCAGCTGGGCAAGTTACCGAACCTCCACCTGCCTCAGTTTCCCCATCTGTAAAACGGGGCTCATAATAGCACCTACCTCGCCGAGTTGTCATGAGCATCAAATGAGACATAAAGTGAGCTTAGCACATAGTAGGCTTACCTCTCCTTCCCCATGAAATGCCTCCTTCATTTTTGAGGTCCCTTTCAGAATGATGGGGGAAAATCGTCCATCCTCAGACAGCACCCCCACAACAAACCTCCAAACACTCAAAGAAACCACTTTTCTGAGGGGGTGTCCAGACCTTGGACCCCAGCTCCATCACTCACTTGGGGTACCCTAGCTGGAGATCCCAGTGCTTTGGGATCCCTGGTGTAATCTTCCAGGGCCTCTGAAACGGAAGATTTAGCAGCTGCCGTCCCTGGGGAGGGGGAGTCAGCCCTGAGCCACAAGGACGACACCCCCCTCCCCTTGGGGGCCGGTCCAGGTGGAATGGGAGCTCATTTTTATATAAAAACACATAGTGTCTGGACAGAGGCATCCTGGCTATAATGGAAGTGGAGTCAGGAAAACCTGGGTTCAAATCTTGTCATATGTGACTGAGCGTCTCTTGGCTCCTTGGCTTTCAGACTCCTGTCTGAAGTTACAGACGGGTTGCCTGCTCTGATCAGGACTTATCCATGGCTTCCCAGAATGGGGATTAGGCAGAGTCTGACCTCCCAGCTGCTCCTCTTCTGGGCGAGCCCCTCCATTCCCGAAGGCCTAAGGGTCCTCAGCTCTTTGGGACTGTGCTGTGGGCCCTTCTATTCTATGCTACCGGGAGCCACATGCTTGAAACCCAATTTCTAATGATGGAATCTTTTAGGCATCACCTCCAGGCCAGTCATTGAGACAGAGTTATGGGGGAGAAGGGGAAAGTGAGATTTCTCTAGCATTTTCCCCATACAACTGTCCAGTTATAATATATCTACCTATTCTATCGCCAGGTAAAGCTGGCCTCCGGCTTCGGGAACCTGTCTCCAATCATCTATAACCTGTCCAGGATTCCTACCAAGCCCAAGGGAATGGGGTGTCTGAGTGGGCTGTTGTCTTTTTGTACCTGTGTGACCCCGGGCAAATTGGCTAGCCTTTCTAAGCCTCAGTTTACTCGTATGTGTTATTCAGTGTTTTTAAGTCATGTCTGACTCTGTGACCTGATTTGGGGTTTTCTTGGTACAGATACAAAAGTGATTTTAGTCATTTCCTTCTCCAGCTCATTTTACAGATAAGGAAACTGAGGCAAACAGGGTGAAATGACTTGCCCAGGGTCACACAGCTAGTAAGTGTCTGAGGCCAGATTTGAACTCAGGTCTTCCTGACTCCAGGCCAGGTGCTCTATCCACTACAGGAGCTAGCTGCCCCCTTCCCCTGTGTACAGTGGTGGTAGTGATTTACTCCTGGTGTCATGAGATTTTCCCCAGGTAAGTGCTATGTAAGCCTCCTAGCACTATACCAAGGTGATTTATCTCTTTGTAAGACTCAGGCTACTTCTCTGTGCCAGGCTGCTTGGGATCACAGAATTCAAGGGTTGTCAGGGATCTCAGAGCCCCCCCCAAATCCTATCAGGAGCCCCTCTACACCAGGCAGCCCAGTCCACTCAGGGAGGACTCTAATTAGTCCAGATTTTCCTTCTGTCTGTCTGAAATTTGTCTCTCAGCAACTTGCACCCAGTGGGGGGTCCCAGCCTGGCTGTCTAGGGCCAGGGAGCACAGTCTGATCACTCTTGTGTGTGACAATCCCTTAGGTACTTGAAGACAGCTCTGTCCCCCTCCCCCTACCAAGTCTTCTCTAGGTAAACATTCCCAAGGTAACTGATCCAGTCACCATTCTAGTCCCCCTGTTCTGGTCACCCCATTTTATCTTGTTGGCGCCTTCCCCGAACAGAAGACGGTTCTCTCTGCTGCTCAGTTCCCTGGGATCATTCCTTCCCTTCAAACACACTCTGGAACCAGCCCTGCCCCTACTTATTACACTCATTTATTCCTAGTCACCTAGTGATACGGCAGTTCATTCTGTAAATTTCCCCCTGGCTTTCATATTGGTTTTGTGGGAGACTGGAGGAAGAAAGGCTTCTCTTCTCCCAGGGCTGGCCTTGGGCATCTGCCTTTTGGATTCCCTGGGTGTGCTGAGAGGCAGGAGGTAGGTGTCCTCAGGGAGTCTGTGGGCACAGACACCAATGAGGATGGGTGTGGCAGGATTGAGGGGAAGACTTACTGTTGGGTGTGTACCAGCAGGTCAAGGGCCCCTCCGAGGCCGTCTGGCCAATCAGATCCCCCCTGAGATCTTGAGCAACCCACAGCTGCAGGAGGCCATCCAGGCCCTGCCCTCAAACTACAACTTTGAGATCCCAAAGACCATCTGGAGAGTCCGGCAAGCCCAGGCCAAAAAGGGTAAGCAGTTGGTAGGGCAGGCTTACCTGTCCTCCCTGGACAGCGTAAGCAAGCATCTGCCAGGGGTAGACCTGTTCTGTAGACCTGGCATCAGAGCAGGGGGGAGGGTGAGATGTGGCAGTGGGTTCTGTCCTGTATATAGGACATCAAGCATAGCCTGATGCCCCCATCTTCTCCCAATTCTGTCTACAGTTGCCCTGCAGATGCCAGAAGGCCTTCTCATGTTTGCTTGTACCATTGTTGACATTCTGGAAAGGTGAGGCAATGAGCAGCCATGCAGTGGTTCCAGCAGGTTTGGGGCAGCAGGGGTGGCTGGGTGTATCAAGGCTCCCATCAGTCTCCTTAGCAGGAGCTGCCTCTAACCGACCTGGTCTGAGACACCCCCCCCTTCCCCCGGATGTCCACCTGTTTGTCTAAGACCTTCAAGTTGGAAGGTCATCCCCTGGTCACAGGGACAGGGCAGTTCTGATGCCAAGGAGGTGGCAATATGGAGCCCAGGGTAACTCGGGGCTCAGAGGATAGAAGGTCAGTGGACAAATGTGTGCTGAGTTGATTCGAGTAAGGTTAAAGCCCTGAGGGGGTCTTTTCCCCCAAAACTCAACTAGGTTGTAGCCCTGGAGGCTGGCATGTTTGGGCAGTAGGCCTGTGTTTGGAAGATTTCTCTCCCCTTCTCTCCCGCCCCCCACGGCATGATTCCTCAATACAATTAGCCACAGTTGGGGGGCCTTGTGTGCTGAGCTGTCTGGAACATACCACCAGAACAGTGAGGGGGGAGGTGGAAGGGCGAGGGGGGGAGAGGGGAGGTCACCTCGTGATGGGAACCTCCCACTCCCCTGCTGCTGCTCCCCTCCCTGACTCCCCCATCCTGCTGCCACAGATCTACTTCTCCAGTCTCTCCCCTACCCCCTCTGGGATGCTCTCTGGGGCTCGGGCCAATTTGCATACATTTTAATCTATAAAAAATTAAGTGCTACAGCTGACTCAGACACCCAGGCTGCATTTTAAGGAGTTGAATAACACACTGCTGTGCTGGGCCTGATTGGGGGTACTGGGGGGCTGGATCTCAGGCTTGCACTGGACTAGTCAGGCCAAGGAACGGGGCGGAGGGCTTGGTGCGTTTTTTTGGGCAGGGTTTTTCTGACTCCCACCCCACCCTGGTGGTGATTCAGGCCTGGTGCTGATTGTGGCAGTGGGGGTGGGGATGGGAGGGTGTCTCTCCCCTTCCTCTCCCTTCCTCTCAATGATTCAGGCCTGGCACCGATGCCCACAGCATTGTGCTGCCCAGATCCCACTCTTTTTGCATCGTGAGGCTTGCCAGTGGTGCTTGCATGTATTGGGAGTGACTGGCACAGACCCTTCCCCCACATCAGGAGCTCTGAGGTGGGGTGGGTCTGATTGGGGTGGCAGAGGTTGCATGTGGTCCCATGCAAAGGGGAAACATCCATGCTGGGCAGCATGCTCCTCTGAATCTGTGCATCTCTGCCTACATACATGATTTCCTTTCTTTGCTTGTATTCTTACCTACACATGCAGGCCCTTGGATGGTTCTGTAACGTGTGTGTGTGTCACAGAGTGGAGGTGGGGGGAAGACCAGCACACTGTGGGAACCATCCTTAGGTCATACCAGCACCAGGATGGAGGGTGGCAGCAGCTGGGCCCCTCCTACTTTGTGCAGGAAGAGGCTCCCTGTTGAGGGGCCCAGGTTGGCAGACCTTTGGAGCTGATGGCATTTCCTTCGTTCCCCCCTTCCCTGGCAGGTTCACAGAAGCTGAGGCCATGGTGATGGGGGATGTGACGTATGGTGCCTGCTGCGTGGATGACTTCACTGCCCGTGCCCTGGGAGCCGACTTCCTGGTGCACTATGGCCACAGCTGCCTGGGTACCCAGAGCCCATGCGGTGGCAGCTCTGCTTATGACTTCTCCCTCTCCTTTGCAGCCTTGTTCATTTTCTTTTCCCCCAGATTTTGGTCTCTTAGTCTCTTTTTGTTGCTGGGAAGGCTAAGGCCTCCCCGATCCCCAGGTAGAACCATCCTTTCAATTTGGTTGCCATAGAAACAGCTGCTGTTCCAGATGTGGGTGTTCTAAAGCTCGGCTGAAGCAGCAAGGGTCCTAAACGGGTGGGATTGGAAGAGCCAGGTTGTGCCCACTCCCCACCCAGCCCCCTCCTGGCTTCTGGGACTGATTCTGTAGCCACAAGCCAAGCTCTCTAGGGTCCCTCCCAGAGCACAGGGAGAACGGCAGTGTCCTGACCGGTTTCCTTCTGCCCCCAGTGCCCATCGATGTCTCGGCCCAGGGCCTTCGGATGCTCTATGTTTTCGTAGATATCCGGATAGACACTGCCCACTTATTGGACTCAGTTCGACTCGCCTTCCCCCCAGAGACTTCCTTGGCGCTGGTCAGCACCATCCAGTTTGTATCCACTTTACAGGTGAACAGAATCAAGGAATGTCAGAGAAATCTCACTGCCTCTGAACTGTGTCCTCCCAGCCAATCTCTTCTCTTTCATTATCCTCAACACAGATAGTTGCCCAAGAGCTGAAATCTGAGTACAAAGTTTGTGTGCCTCAATGCAAGCCACTGTCCCCTGGAGAGATCCTGGGCTGCACATCCCCTCGGCTTTTGGACAACGTGGAGGCCATTGTGTGAGTTCTGGAGGCAGGGGACACATGTACTGTAACATTGGAGGTTGAAGGGACCCTAGATTTCACCTGGTCTAGTGCCCTTGTCTTATAGGAGACCTGTGACTTGCCCAAGGTCACACAGTGGCTTCTCTGGGCTCCAGTGTTCTTTTCACGATGTGAATATCTTGATGTGAATTGGAATTGGGTGGTGAGAGAACTGGGAGGGGAAGAGGGTGGGGGCCAGGGAGGTGGGATCGAAGTGCTGGGGAAGTAATTGGAGAAGACGAATGACCAGGCCCACACTGCAGCCCCATTAATTTAGCGTCAGGACAGCTAACGAGCAGGAGCACACCATCTCCTGCTGCCTAATTATTTTAGGTAATGGAAATGCTTAATGTTGTGTGAATGCAGACTGCCTTGGAGGAAACTGTTCCCCCAGCCCTGAGGAGAGGCCCCCCCTCTCCACCCTAATCCAAGGGAGGAAGAGATGCTTCTCAACCCCCTCTGTCCCAGGGCCTGCCTGACGCTGGTATCTCTGGCTGGGCCCTTGTCCCAAAGGGGAGGGCTGTTTTTGCCCTAAATCTCTGCCCCTTATAGGTTAGAGAACATTCAGTTCTACGGACAGGCCCTGTCTGATCCTTCCCAGTCCTGCCCTGCCCCCACCTCCTCTCTGGCAGCCATTTCCCTGCCGCCTGTGGTCAGTTGATATCTCTTCCCCTGATAAGTACCTGCACTTTGGGGCCTCTGAGCATAGGTGGGGGAGGGGAAGAGGCAGTGTGGAGGGCAGCTGCTCATTAAAATTGAATTGGTCCCCTAGAGTGTGCAGGAAGGGGCTGTTCAGGGGGTGAAGGCTCTCTCCCACACCTCGGTCCTTTCAAAGATGAGGGAAGGCACTGTTGGACCACTGGACAGGAAGGGGCTTGGGGGCAGCCCTTCACAAAGAAGAGAATTGGAGGCAATGCGTCACCCTTCTGTTTCTTAGCATCAGGAGTTGAGGGGGGCCTCCCCTCAATCTTCATCTGGGATTAGGCTCGAGGGCATGCTAAACATTCTTCTGCCACTCACAGGTATCTCGGTGATGGCCGTTTCCATCTCGAGTCTATCATGATTGCCAACCCTGGTGTTTCTGCATACAGGTACTGGGATGCTGGGGTGTAAGGGCCTTCAGAAGGTGTGTTTTGCTTCTGCCCTGGCTCCACTTGGTAGAAATTCTGCTTCATTTCCTTTCAGGATTGGGTCAGCCCCATAACTCAGGGGACCTGAGGGATGGGGCATGGTTGCAACCGTAAGATCCCAGCTGCCAATGAGCCAGCTTCCTGGGGCAGCTGGGACTGGCACTGAGATGCTGGGCTGCTGGCTGCCCCTCCCCATAGGCAGTGTCTTTCTCTGCTCTTTATCCCCAGCCCTTCCCCTCTTGCCTGCCTTATCCCTGGGACGGTTATCTTTTCCTCCCCTCAATTAGCCTTCAACAGCAGAAGCAGGTGGTGGATGGGGCTTGTGTAAGCCATGTGAACTGGAGGGTGGAGGTGGGGGGCCTTCTGTCTTGGGCACAGCCTCCTGGGCATGGAGGGCAGCCTGCTCTTCTCTGCAGATATGACCCGTACAGTAAGGTCTTGTCCAGGGAGCACTACGGCCATGAGCAAATGCAAGCTGCCCGCCAAGAGGCCATCTCTGCTGCCCGTTCTGCCCGATCCTGGGGCCTCATCCTGGGCACCTTGGGCCGCCAGGGAAGCCCCAAGATCCTCGAGGTGACTTGGTGGCTTAGGGGAGGTAGACAACGTCCAGTGTGATTTCTGATTCTCCTGGGGCTGGGCTAGGGTATGATCTGCATTATCTGCCTGGCTGGTAGGCAGGTGAATGGGGGACACTGCAGCAGTAGGGGAGACCCTCCAAGGCCCCTCAGATAGTTATGTCTGTGGACGAGGGAATGGGTTGGTGGGTAGGTGGCCTTGGGCTTCTGGCTGATCGTTGTGACTTCCACAGCATCTAGAATCCCGGCTCCGCCACTTGGGGCTCTCATTCTTCAGGCTGCTGCTCTCGGAGATCTTCCCCAGCAAGCTCAGCCTGTTCCCAGAAGTGGATGTGTGAGTTCTGGTGCGCCCCTCCCCCCAAACCAGCCCCCTAGTGACTCTGAGGGAGCTAAGCAACACAGAAGCTTGGCAGCGTGTGTGCCCAAACCATTATGCCACCTTGGGCACCTCAGCACTAGCCTCGACAACTTGGTGGTCATCAGATACCAGCATTTACTGATCACTGACTGGGTCATCTGGCCTTGATCACACGAGGGTCTGACAGGACAGGCTTCACACATCACTCCTGCTCTCTGGAAGCTTACAGACTTGGCTGGGGTTCCAGAGTTGCCGCAAAAATTACAAGCTTGGGGGGGGGGGCAGCTAGGTGGCACAGTGGATAGAGCTCCAGTCTTTGAGTCAGGAGAACCTCAGTTCAAATCTGGCCTCAGACACATGACACTTACTAGCTGTGTGAACCTGGGCAAGTCACTTAACCCCGATTGCCTTACCAAAAAGGCAAAAAAAAAAAATTAAGAGCTTCCCAGAAACAAATTTTAGGAGTAGAGGGGAAATTCTGAACCAGGTGAGGGGACTATAGCCTCTAGTCCAGAGGAGTGAATCGCAAGATCATATATCTGGGCAACTAGAAGACACTCTGAGGTCATCTCGTCCAACCCTCTCATTTTACAGATGGGGAAACTGAGGCCCAGGACAGTTAATGTGACTTAGCCAAGGTCCTAGGGGTGGCAGAGTTGGGATCTGAACCCAGGTCCCACTTGGGGGGGGGGTAATGGGGGTGATGCCAAGGTCATTCTCTGGTCCTCTTGCTGGGCAGAATCAGGTCCAGCTTCTGGTGGAGAAGGGTTCCATTGCTTTGCTGAGCCTCTGATGCTTTCTTTGTCTCAGGTGGGTACAGGTGGCCTGTCCACGCCTCTCCATCGACTGGGGCACAGCCTTTCCCAAACCGCTGCTTACCCCCTATGAGGTAACACTGCATGAAAGGTCCCCTGGGTAAGCGGGTCAGGGCTCCCCCTTCCCCCAAAGGTGGTCTACAGTCTCTCTTGGGGAACGTTTATATCTGAGGAAGGATCCAGGATCCGGCACTGGAAGGGGCGTTAGAGGTCCCCTCCTCTACCCCCTCCTTTTACACATAAGGAAACTGAGGCCCGGGGTGGTTTGGTGACAGGTGCTCCAGCTCTTCTGCCTCGAGGGGCTGCCCCTGGCCGGAGGGGGGGGGGAAGCACCTGCTCAAAGGCACCGTGCCCCCCGCAGGCAGCCGTGGCCCTGAGGGACGTCTCCTGGCAGCAGCCCTACCCCATGGACTTCTACTCGAGCAACTCCCTGGGGCCCTGGGCAGTGAACCACGTGAGCCACCGGCAGGGCCAGCGGCTGAGGGCGTCGTCGTCTGGCGCGGGCGAGCAGGTGGGGCGGCCGGGGGCGTGCTGCGCGTGCGCACGGAAAGGGAGGAAGGCGGGGGAGCTGGGGGGAATCCTCGAGGACAGAGGCGCGCAGACGCCGTCGGCCCCTCTCGTCCGATGCCTGCTAGCGGACGCTGCCGCCCAGCGGCCGTAGAAGGGAAGGACTCCCCACCTCGGGAGGGCGGGGCGAGCTTTCACGCAGCCTCCCTAACCAGGTCTCTTACTCCGTCAGGTGAAGGGGCCCGTGGCTACCGGGCCGCCCGTCGGTTGCAATGACTGTGCCTGCCTCAAGAAGGCAGCGCCTTCGCCTGCGTTCTGAACTAGAGCCCCTTAGCCGGAGGCCCATTTCTTGGGTTTCATCGCGGCTCCTCCCCTTTCCCCCAACCCCGTCAAGGAAAAGGTCGTCCAAGCTGGTCACGCCCCTTGAGCTCAGCCCGCCCCCAGTCACTTCCGCTTCCGCTCGCGGCCGAGCGGTTTCCGGTTCTCAGGGCTGGAGGTCGCCATGTCGGAACCACGACCTTTGCTGCGGATTTTGTGCCTGGCTGGCTTTAGACAGAGCGAGCGCGGCTTCCGCGAGAAAACCGGGTCTCTGAGGAAGGCGCTGCGGGGCCGCGCCGAGCTCCTGTACCTCAGCGGCCCGCACCCCATCCCAGAGCCCGCCCCGCCGGCTGGTGAGTGGCCTCCCACCCCAGTCATGTGCGTCCACGCCCCTCGCATGCTTCCACTTGCGTGGCGCCCCTTCTGGTTACCCGGAGTCTCTGCCCAGCTCTTCTCGCGCCGGGCCTCCTGCGCTCACCCCTGCCCTCCCCCGTTTTCCTAAGCCGTGGCTTCCCCCTTCCTTTGCTCTGTTGCTTCTGCTCCTTTTCCCTGCTTTCGGGCACTCCTGCCCTCCCCCTCATCTGCAGCTCTAGCTCTCCGCATTGTTCCTATAGGGCCCCATTCCCCGGAGGAAGAACCTCGAGGTTGGTGGTTCTCAGATCCGGAGGCAGCCGTGTTCTCCGCCCTGGAAGAGCCAGCTGAATGCCGAGGCCTGGAGGAAGCCTTAAGTGTCATTGGCCGAGCGATGGCCGAATGTGGCCCCTTGGATGGACTCCTGGGTTTTAGTCAAGGGGCGGCATTAGCAGCCTTGGTGTGTGCGCTGGGGCAGGCTGGTGACCCCCGCTTCCCCCTCCCTCGATTTGTCATCTTGATTTCCGGTTTTCGCCCGAGAGGCCCCAAACTCGCCCAGCCTTTCCCGCAGGCACCTCTGTTGCTACCTTCGCTGCACGTGCTGGGAGAGACTGATAGAGTCATCCCTTCTCAGGAGAGTCTTGAACTAGCTGGTTGCTTCTCCGGGGCGGTCACTCTCTCCCACCCTGGTGGCCACTTCATTCCAGCCGCTTCTCCCCAGCGCCAAGCATATCTCAAGTTCCTGGACCAGTTTACAAAGTGAGATTTCAGGATTCCCTAGACCCTCCGTCCCCCCAACCGATCATTAAGGATACTTGAAGCTCTAGGCCAGGCACCCTTTTACTGGCAACCCTGACGTGGGTTCAGCTCCTGGCCTTCATTGATCAGCTAATAGAGATGTTGATCGTACCCTTGGGCTCAGACTATGCCCATCCTCCGGAGACGAGCAGGGTTGTGAACTCTGCAGTCAGATGAAGGAGGATTCAGCTGGGAAGAGAGCAAGCGGGCTGAGACACACTGGACAGATTTTCCTGTGCTATAGTTTCTATGGCAAGAAATGGGCTGATTGACCTGTAGGGAATTTAGGGTGGGTATATTGGGCTAAAAGTGGACAGGAAAGGGGTTGGATTCAGAGAAATGTTAGTACTGTAATTGCCACCCAATAAAGCACATATTTTGGTATTTGACATGTTTGTTTCCCTAGTGCACACATACACCAGTTGCGTGGAGGGAGCCTCTGGCCTACCCAACAACCAAGTCAAGCAGCTTGGGCTGAGCAGTCAGGCTTCTTGAACCCTGAAGTACTTGACTCTTGACCACCCTTCTGTCCATTCTTTTGACACTGTCCTCCCTAGGTTCTCTCCTCTGACCATTCCTTCTCAGTCTGGTTTACTGGATCATCAGCTGTGTCGGGCCCTCTATGTGTTGGTGCATCCCAGGGCTTTCTACTCTGCAAGTGATCCTTTCATTAATGATGATCATCTATATTCAAATAAAACTCATAGATTTATCTAACTTTGACTTTGCCAAACCGCCTGTTGAATATTCCCAACTGGATATTCAATAGACATCTCAAAACCAGGACTCATTTTTATTTCCAAACTCTCCTCTCTTCCTAACTTAACTGTTTATGTTGAAGATGCCACTGTCTTTCCAGGCCCCAACATTTGCAGTCTTAGGATCATTTTTCCATCTCTTGCCCAGTCAGTTGTAGTCTTGTCTATTTGCTTGTTTGTCCCCATCTCTCCACTCACACATTCACCACCATACTTGAGACTCTTCCTCTCTTGCCTGGATTACTGCAGGAGCCTGATTGGGTGTCCTGCCTCCATGTTCTCCTTTCTATGCCTCCTTCACATAGTTGTCAGTGATACTCTTAAAGCCCAGGTTTGGTCATGTTCCTCCCCTGTTCAAAGCAGCTCCAGTGGCTGTTAGACTGTAGGAATAAAACAAAACTTGTTTGGCATAGAAAGCCCTTCACAATCTGGCTTCCAGCCTGTCTTTCCAGGTCTGCTATTGTGCAATTCTCTTTTCCTCTCGCATACTCTGTGTTTCAGCCAAATTAGCAGTCACTCCCCATGTATTTTCTATCCCTGTGTCTTTGTATAGGGTGTCCGGTGTGCCTGGGTGCAATCCTGATGTCTCTTAAGCCTTGTTGATCCCTAGCTTCCTTTAAAGCTTAGTTCTAGTGCCATCTCCTACATGAAACCTGCCCTGACCCCCCCCCCCCACTGTTGCTAGTGTTCCTCCTGGAAATGATTTTGTATTTATGTGTAGGTCGTTTCACCCTAATGGAATGGAAGCTACTTGTGTGTCTCCAGTTCTCAGCTCATAGTAGGTGTTAAATAAATACTTTTTGAATGAATGGGTGTAAGTGAAATGCCCTGGGTAGGTGCTGAATGAGTGTGTCAGCCATGCGCTCCCAGGACAAGTGTACCAAACATACACACAAACACACACCCAAGTTTCTTGTTTGAATTTTCCATTTTTGGTCTCCTCCTGAAGGCACTTTGTCCACGGATGAAGAGGAAAAGGAAAAGAGATCCTCACTCAGAGGCCCAAACAAGAGTAAGATGAGTAGAATTCTAGTAGAATTGAGTCACAGGACAGCTTTCTGGAATCTTTTTTTGTGTAGCAGCTAGACCTGAGCCCAACAACCTTACCCTTGGGAAGCACAGTTAGGGGCTTCCCAGTCACTACTCTTGAGACGTTCCAGCCCCCACACCTCCCCCCCCCCACTATCTTCCACTTTTTAACAACTTGGCTCACTGCCCTCTTATTCCATTTAGTGCTTGGTCCCACCCTCAGCCATGCTACCATGTGATGCTATCCTTCCAGACTGGCTCTGAGACAAGGGAAAACCTGTATCACCACTAAGCCATAATGAGTGGGATGGCTTTCATTCTGGGTTATGACCCCACCTCCTGATTTTGGGGACCAAGGCCTGAGGTTCTGTGTTCCCTCAGCCTGCCTGATGAGGGCAGCAGTTTAATCTCTCCTCCTGGCAGAGTGGTAGGAATTTGGACAAGGGAGACATGCTCAGACTTTATCGGTTTGAGAATCCATTCTGATGATACTCAGTTCTCCCTACCCTGGTCCACACTCTGCTCCACTGCTCTTCAGACATCATCAATTGTATGTCCAATAGACATCTTAAACTCAACATGTCCAAAACAGAACTCATCATCACTGCCCCAACCCTCCCCTACTTCTGCTACCTTTCTTCTATTACTATAAAGGGCAACACCATCCTCCCAGGCCCTCTGGCCTAGAAGTCACCCAGGATTCTTCATTATCTCTTACCTCCCATGTTCAAGCTACTGCCTGTCAACTTCACCTTTGCAACACCTCTCTCAAGTATACCCCTTCCTCTCCTCTGACACTGCAACCCCCTGGTCCAGACTCTCATCATCCCACCCCTGGATTATTGCAGTAGCCTGCTGTGGGGTCTGCCTGCCTCAAGTCTCTCCCCACTCCCCACACCTTACTCAAATCCATCTTCCCTTCAACCACCAACGCGATTTTCCTAAAGCACTGCTCTATATCGTTGCCTTGCTCAGTAAGTCCAGTGGCTTCGCAATGCCTTCAAGAATCAAGTACACAATGCTCTGTTTGGCATCCAAATGCCTTCATAACCTCGCCCCATCTTACCTTTCCTGTTTTCTTACACCTTACTCCCCCCAATCATGTACTCTTGAATCCACTGAGAGACTGGCTTTCTGGCTGTACCATGAACTAGACAATCCATTCTTTTTGCTGGGCATTTTCACGTGCCTGGAATGCTCTCTCTCCTCTGCTCCATCTACTGACCTCCCTGGCTTCCTTCAAGTCCCAATTAAAATACCATTTTCTATAGAAAGCCTTCCCCCACCCCTCTTAATTTCAGTGTCTTCCCTGTTAATTTTCCTATTTATCCTGTATATAGCTTGCATTGTGTATATGTTTGCATGTTGTTTTCCCTATTAGATTGTAAGCTCCTTGAGGGCAGGGACTGTCTTTTGCCTCTTTTTGTATCCTCAGCACTTTAGCACAGTGCTTGGCACATAATAGGTATTTATAAATGTTTATTGATTCGAATCTTCACTCAACCTTACCCCTAGTGGCAGTTCGGTACTGAGCCTTATTTAAAAGCCCCAACTTGGTAAGGAGGAAAGCACAGTCTGAAGCCTTTCAAAGAGGGTTTAAAAAATCATTGGCATGGCAGGGAACCATGACCTAGGGGTATTATACTCCAGGGATGAAGATTGTTGGTTTGAATCCCTTTCCTTTTTGTGGCCATTGGTCCTAGATCTGAATGTGCATCTGAATAATTTCGTAAGGCTGTGGCAAAAAAGATTAGGACAGTGTAATGGACGGAAGAACCCAAAGTTGTCTGTTTTGGGAAGGCAAAGCATATTCAAGCTTCCTTCACATCTTCACATATAAGCCAATAGCCCCTCCCATGGTCATCACTGTCCCTTTGATATGCCTTATTTGTTCTCTTTCTCAGTGCCTTCCTAACCCCCTTTTGCTTTGGCCCCCTCCATGGGATTTTGAGTTGTCTTGCCCCTTCCCCCTCTACCCATCACACCATCTGCGAGCTTCAGGCACTGGAACCCTGGCAGCTATGTGCACAGTCTTGAGGCACAAGCCTTATTCTAACTTTGAAGAATCTGTGTCAATGTAGGAGGGTGAGTACTTTGGGGGAAATGAGAAAGGAGTGAGAATCCCACCTCCATTTCCTGATCTAGAAAATAATGCATGCTGCTATGCTTACCTCTCAGGATTCTAAGAATGAAAGATGAGGTTTGATTGTATTTTGGATAGTGTGGAGGGGGAGAAAGGGAACCAACCAATCAAAATGCTATTAACTCCAGACATGATGATGATGATGATGATGATGATGATGATGATGATGGTGATGATGGGCAGAGTAGAGTAACTCTTAAAATAATAGAAAAGGATCCAAAGCCCCTTATTTTTCAAAAGAGGAAATTGAGGCCCACAGGTAGATCTGTGTCAGAGCTGGCAGTAGAACTCAGGTCCTGGCTCCTAATTCAGCATTTCCCTTGTTCTGTGCTGTCTTATAAGGAAATCCAAGGAAACTGCCCCATCATTTGCCTCAGAACTTCTAGCTCTCCTGTTTACTTGTACGTGGTTCCTGAATGAGTTACTTGTCCTCTGGGCCCTGGCTTCCTCATTTGTAAAATTTAAGAATAAGACTAAATGTCTAAAGTCTATTTCCCCAACTAAAATTCTAAGGTTCTATGATCTCATCCCCTGCCAAATGTGTGCCATGTTTCTCCATTTTAGACACAACTTTCTCTTTCTGCGTGATTTCTGGTCTTTCTTTCCTACCTTCTTTCTCCACAGACTGAGTCCATATTTCCACAAACCTACAAAGCACCCACCTCACAATTCACAGAACCAAACTTCCCAGCTGTCTGTGGTACATTGATTGAATGAAAAGAACTAGGGTTGGGCAGCTTGGTGGCACAGTACATAAGCTCCAGCCTTGGAATCAGGAGGACCTGAGTTCAAATCCGGCCTCAGACACCTGACGCTTACTAGCTGTGTGACCCTGGGCAAATCACTTAACCCCAATTGCCTCACCAAAAAGGCAAAAAAAACAAAAACAAAAACAAAAACACAAAAAAACTAGGGTTAGGAAGGAGCAAGAAAACCTGGATTCTAACTCCAGCTCTGACACATATTTACTATATCACCTCGGGGAAGTCACTTCCTTACTAGAAAGTCTCATTTATCAATGAAATGAAGGAGTTGGACTAATTAGCTCAGATGTTTCCTAGACCTGGCATCCAAGATGCTTCAGGCCCCAAGACTTTTTCCCTGGATGAAATTAAATAGAAAAGCAAAGTTCACCCTCCCTATGGAGATGGAACAGGGAAATCTGAACCCACAACCTGTTGTCTTGCAGGGTAAGGATTCATACCTAGGATGTTCCATTATCTTACACATCTGCAAAATGGGTTCCTGTGTATAGCTACCTACAGCTTGGGCAGTGGGGCTCCAGAAAGCCTACCTGCCTGGAAATACCTGCCACACTATGGCTGAAATCCACTTAAGACTTTCTGGAGACATACACTTAGAACTGCTTTACCTGGCTGAACTCTGGTATCCTAGGAGAATGTGATTTCTCTAGTTTACCATTGCCACACTAAATGATACTGGGCAGAAAGTGTTAGTGGAGGAGAGAAGGAAACTATGCCTATAATAGGTTGCATGGAGCCATTCCTATTTTCTCTCTCCCTCCCTCTGTTCTGTGTCTCTGTCTCCTGCCTCAGAATGATTATTCTCGTTGTCTCCATCTCTCCACTCACACATTCACCACCATACTTGAGGCTCTTTTTCTTCTTGTGTATTGGGGGTGGGAAAGAGACCCCTGGAAAATTCTATTCTCAAATTCATCCCTGGAAGGTCTGACCAGTTTAGGGCTGTCCGACATTGTCATCCGGACATAAAGAGGCTGAATGTAAGATTTGCCATCAAGTCTCCACTTTCTCATTTTGGGCCAGGGAGGGCTTTCAAGAGAAAAAGGGATGGAGTGGGTATGAGAAGGCTGTGACTAATCACCTCTAGGTGCTAGGGGGGGAGAGATGGCAACAGGGAAGGACATTTACCTGAAAGGAGGGACAATATGGACAGACTCATGGCGACAAATAGACATAGATACAGACTCACTGTGACAAATGGCCGCGATCTTCAGTAGCTTTTGCTGGGGCTGCTCTCCTTTTTTTTGGTGGGGTAGGGGGCAGCGGTGGGGCGGCCCCTCAAGCTGTGTTTAGCTGTAGACCCAGGAATGCCGTGTCCCCTAGCCCCAAATGGTGCCAAGGGGTTGGAGGAGGACAGAATGTTTTGCCTCCATAGGTGCCTGGCTCCTGCCTCCTGCCTCTCACCCAGGGGAGGGGTGGGGGTGGGGGTGGGGGTCCGGAAGCTGCTGACCCCGCCCCCTCAACCTGCGCCCCGCCTACAGTCCCACCTCCCTCCCCCAGCCCTCAGACGGGGCGGGCGAATAAGCGCGCGCTAGAGGAGGGGTGGGGGGGAGGAACGGCCGCGTGGGCGTGCTGCGGGGCGACCATGGCTGTAGACTGTTACTCCCGGTTCCCACAGTAACAATCGAAAGCCACGGTTGCCCTGGAGACGCGGGGGCGGGGAGGTGGGGCGCGCGAGTGACGGCATCTCCGTAGCTTCCTGACGTCAGAGGCTGCGGCTGGGGGGTGGGGGGGAGCTAAGGCTAGGTAGTGGGGGGTGAGGAGGGGGAAAGGGGGGTGTTGGAGAAGAGGAGAGGGTCGGCGCAGTTCCGGGGGCCGCTCAGCGGAGCAGCCCCGGCCCCAAAAGGGTTTGGTTGGGATACTGCGTGCTTAAGGCCATAGATGTCTAGCCCTGCTTCCCCCATAAAATTTTCCAGGCTAGGGTCTTGTAGTCCCGGATGTCCGGGGCCGCAGGGACTGCGGCATTTCCCTGGGGGTCTGCATACACCCCCTACGACCTGCGAGCCTGCACTCTAACCTTGGCCGGGGGCTCAGTCGCAGCCCTGCAGCCCCGGGGTGCAGAAGGCAGAAGAGGCTCGGGCTGGTTACAGGAAAAGCAGTCCGCTGGGATCAGCACCACGGACAGTTCCAAAGATGGGCCCTCGGGTAGTAGGACTGCCCAGAGCCTAGGGGCCCCACTGGAAAGGCAGCCTCTTTCCATTCCCTGCCCCCCACCCCACCCCTTGGGACTCCTCTGCACTGTCGGGTCTGGGGCCTTGGGCATCGTCTGGGGTTACATTCATGGACACCGCAGGGAGCAAAATTTGCAGTAGCGGGGTGGCGAGGGAGCCCAGAAGAGGTTCTGGAGCAGAGATATTGAAGGGGGCGGCGGGAGTCTGCGGGGCTTCCAGGAGTGTCCGGGTGTCCAGGGGCGGGGGCCAGGCGTCGGTGGCCGTGACTGGAGACTGTTACTGAGGGTGGCCCGGGCAGTAAGCAGTCTAGAGCCAAGGTGCCGGCGCGCTGCCCGGGCCGGACTTGAATGAATCCTCCTCTTGCCGCTTCTGCAGCGTCTCTGGACAGGGCCTGGGGGCAAGCGGCTGGAGCCTGAGCTGCCAGGAGAGACAGACGCACCCCCAATATTAAAAGGCTCCCCTCTTCCCCCTCCCCCCCAAAGTGCCGGAGCATGGGGGCTCAGCACGCGGCCCCTGACGTCAGAACCAATGTGACGTGGGAGGCTGCAGCGGGGGAGGGGAAAAGGAGGGGGCAGTTCCGGTGGCTGAGGGGGGAAGGGGTCTGGGAGAGGAGATGTAGAGGGGGGAAGCATTGGAGGCGGTACTCTGAGTGGAGCTCCGTCAGCAACCCGGCCTGTCTTGCTCCTGGTGCTGAGAGGACAGCTCCGAGCCTCGGGAGCTCTCAGCAGTAGAGGGGGTGGGGGGTGAATGAGAGTGGAGGGAGGGGGATGTTTGTAAGAGAGAAGAAGGCTTAGAGCTGGGGATCTGGACAGGTTGAAGGAGATGGGCTGGATCTCCAGGAGATGAGAGAAATGCGAGGAAGGGGTTCCTGGAAAGACTCGAAGTCCAGCGAAGCCAGGGAAAACAGAGTGCTCTACTGGGGGCAGGGCGGTAGTGGGAAGCACGTCCTTCCCTCTCCCGCACCCCCACCCCCAGCTCTAGCCGCCGAGGCTGAGTCACCAAGCCATCGCCGCTGCAGAGAGGGGGCGGGGGTGCGTGGAGCTACCGAATTGGGGGGGCAGGAGTCCGGGGGATGGGGCCCTCGGGGGGAAAGCGAGATAGGCATGTGGAGCAGGACTGGGGGCAGGGGAGTGGAAAGGAGGCGGATTCCCGCCTCCCCCTCCTCCCTCCCTGCCTGGGATGGCGCAGGAACCAGAGGAACCAACGGAACCAGAGCTAGCTCTTGGCGTCTGGCTCTTCCACTGTCCCTCTGGGACAGAAGCCGGGGCGGGTGGAGGGACTGAGACGGAGTGGTTTTGCTGCAGCTTTGTCCCAGGGCCCTAGAAGTGGGTGGACCGGTGCAACTCAGGAGAGAGAGGAGGGGGAGGGAGGGGGAGAGAGAGAGAGAGAGAGAGAGAGAGAGAGAGACGTGGTCCCACCTACCTAACCCACCCGGGGGGCTCCCCAGGTGGAGAGGGCTTTGACATGGCCACGGCAAAACCCTCCACACTCCCTGGGGTCCAAGGGATCCTCCGGAGGCCGAGCGGGGGCGGTCTCCGACAGAGAGGATGGGACAGGGCAGCAAGGAAGCAGCACGTGCCGGGCCGGCCCCCTGGTGCTCCCTGGAAGCCCTCTGGTCTCCCTGCACTCTGAGCCACCGCTCAAGTCCCACCCCCGCCTAACTCACCTTCACCTCCCACCCTTCCTGGGCCCCTCTTACCTGGTAGAGGCAGCCGGACAGACGGTCGGCTGGACGGCTGGATGCCTGGCGTCCCAGCCCCCGCCGCTCAGCTCCCGCAGCCTTCGCCACCGCGCCGCAGCTTTTATAGCTGGGATAGTACTCCGGCCGGCTCCTCATTCATGTGGCCGCGGCTCCTACACACTGACGTAGCTCCGACGTCAGCAGGGAATTTAGGAAACGGGAAGAGGGGCTATTTATAGCGGCGGCAGCCAAGGGAGGGGGAGCCGGGGAGGAAGGGGCAAATATGTATGTAGTGTGTCTTTGGGGGACCGCGGGAGGGGGGCAACTGTTTCAGAAAGGGGTCATCACTAGCTCAGGACCCTGAGGCAGGAAGATGTTAAATTCCCCGGCAGACCCAAGGCGCGTGTGTGTGAGGGCTCTCGCCTGATAGAAGATAGGATGGGGGTGATGGGAATAGTGGTTTGAGGAGAAACAGGGGACCATAGTTAATTACACCTGTATTCGTTCTCTCACGGGGCCTTTCCTTATGGGCGCAGAGGAGGGCGTCTCGCCACTCTAGGGGTATTCTACACCTGCGCTGCCTCGGGTTGTGGAGGCAACAGTGACTGGTGGTCTAGGGCTCAGCGGAAACATTTAAGTCACCTGAAGAAGGGAAATACCCAAGCAGAACAGGCTTCAGTCCTGGTCTGATTCACTTATGGTATGGTGGAAAGCATCGGATCTGGAATCAGATACAGAGGACTTGGGTTCGATTTTAACTCTGGCCCTTACTAGCTGGGTGAACTAAGGCAAATCATATGACCTCTCCAGCCTCAGTTTCCTTATCTGTGAAATAGGGAGGATAATTCCTGTACCACCCATCTACTTCACAGGCCTTTTCTGAAGTTCGAATGAGAGCATATATATGAGGTCACTTGTAAAGGGTAAAGCGCTATAGAATCATGCCAGCTAGTATTATTATCAACTATAATAATCTCTGCATAGACAGAGGAAGAAAGCTCCTATCTTCTGCCGCTTGCCAGTTCTTAGCTCCTAAGCTTGGGGAATCAGGCGTTGCCTTCTTCATAGGTCAGAGAGAAAGAGCTCCCTTCACCTGGGTCCAGGGAGCGGCTCTGTGACATCACAGAGTCCTCCACTGCAGCGTTATAACTACCTTTACGGCAACGTCAACCACGTCACCAACTACGGGGTGCGGCAGGAAGAAGGAAGCAGGGAGGGAAGGAAGACAGAGGGAAACGGGAAAGAAGAAAGGAAAGGAGGGAGGGAAGAAGGGAGAAAAGAGGGAGGAAGAAAGAGAAAGGGAAGGAGGGAAAAAGAGACTGTTTTCAGGGAGGCAGGAGGGACAAGCAGATAGATGCAACAGTTTGTACTGTACTGGTTGGAGAGACCCTGGAGGTCAAATGGAGAGCCTGAATAGTCTGACAGGGTTTTTTTGATGAAGCAGCCTGGCATAGGAGGAAAGAAGAGCAGGAAGGAAATGGGAGGGGAAGCCCTATCATCAGCCTGGGAGCTGGAGGACAGTCATGAGGAGAAGCCCGGTCTGGGAGGTGTAGGGCAGTCATGGGGACAGTGGAAACAGTGCCAGGTCTAGACATGCTATCCTTATCCTACCTCAGTTTCTTTGTTAGTAAAAATGGGGGGGGGTTGCACTAGAAAGCCTCAGATTTCTCCTAGCTCTAAATCCAATGATCCCTGACCCTGAGAAAAGTCTATCCACGTGTCAGGAGAAAAACGGGAGAGGGAGGGGAGTTTGGAGTAGGGGCCTAAACAGATGAAGGCTTTTATTGGTATTGAAAATGAAAAAAGTGCTGGCTATGGAGCAGAGGATTCCACAAGTGTGTGACTTTCAGCAAGTCTCTTATTTCACCTCCTGAAGCTTCAGTTTCCTCATTTGTAAAAGGAAGGGCTGGCTACATGGCCTTTGAGGACCCCATCAGTACTAGTTCTATAAACTAGATAGCTAGGGTCTGTAATTACCTTCCTTACTAGCAGAGAGAGGGAGGGATCAAGAGAGGGAGGGATGGAGGGGGAATGGGTTCTTAGAGAGGTGGACTTGAATCCACTTGGACAGAAATGAGGGGAATTCTAGTGAATAGAGGCACAAAAAAAAAGGAAGATCCTAGACACGCATATATCCTGTAAGAAGAGCATCCTCATGGGGATGCGGGAGATGGGGGAGAAGGCCCTGTCCCTCCTTGGCTGAGCCACTAGCTAGATAGAGCTGGGAAAAAGAAGACTTTAAAGTGAGGCCCAGGTTGGGTGAGGTGACAAGTGAAAGGTAGGTGATGCAGAGGATTGTGGGTGAGGTGGAGGACCAGCACCTTGTTCTTTGCCATTCACTGCCAAGGAGTATAAGAGATTCATGTGAATACAGACATCTGTGCTCATCCCATGGACATGGGATGGGTGGGGCAGGGTAAGGGCAAGGTAAGGAGGAGAATGTTCTTTGAGCCTGTGCTTATTTCTCATCCAGTTGGAGAAGTCTCATGGGTGAAATGGAGCCATTGCAGTGGAGAGATGTAGAGAAAGAGAATTCTGTAAGAGAAAGTC